GGAGACGGGGGCGAAGGAGGGCGCCATATGGGTCTCAACTACTGCAACAACGACATGTTTTTTAACCTGTACCCATTACGGTGACCATGTTCAAAAGTCCTCTCTCCCCCCTCCTCTGGCAATGGGCCTAATTCTCCATCCCTGCTGCAACACGGATGTGAAAGTGCTACCATGCCAATTCCCTCTTTAGCTCCTCTTGCAGGCCTCAGGAGGGGCTTTCATACCTGAAGACTTGTCTTTGTTCTTTTTTTTTTTAACTGTTATATTTTCCCCCACTATTTCATTGATCTAATAAAAGGTATCAGCTCTTCTTACAGACTACCTCGCTGCCATTCTGGTTTGGTTGCATTTCAGTCCCCCTCGATACTCAGTTTGTTCAAGCCCGTGGGACTATGGAGGGTGCAGATGGATGACCTCAAGGACCACAACTGTCATGGGTGGCCCTCTGCACTCTTCCATCTTCTTTGGGCAGTGATCTAAGTCCCTCAACTGCACCAGCCCTGTGAACGTATTGTATAGAATCATCACTGAACGGTTTGGGTTGGAGGGACCTTGAAAAATCATGTAGTCTAACCTCTCTGCCTTGGGCAGGGACATCCTTCACTAGATCAGGTTGCTCAAAGCCCCATTCAACCTTACCTTGAACACTTCCAGGGATGGGTCATTCACAGCTTCTCTGGGCAACCTATTCCAGTGTCTCAACACCCTTGTAAAAAAGTTTCCTCCTTAAGTCCAGTTTAAACATACCCTCTTTCAGTTTAAAATCCTTATCCTATCACAAAAGGCCTTGGTAAAAAGTCTTTCTCTGTCTTTCTTATAAGCCCCCTTCATATATTGAAAGGCTGCAATAAGGTCTCCCCAAAACCTGCTCTTCTCCAGACTGTACAACCCCAACTCTCTCAGCCTTTCTTCACGGGAGAGGCGTTCCACCCCCCTGATCATCTTCATGACCCTCCTCTGGACCCGCTCCAACCGGTCCATGTCTTTCTTGTGCTGAGGGCTCCAGAGCTGGACGCAGGACTCCAGGTGGGATCTCACCAGAGCAGAGTAGAGGGGGAGAATCACCTCCCTCGACCTGCTGGCCACACTTCTTTTGATGTAGCCCAGGATTCAATGGACTTTCTGGGCTGCAAGTGCACACTGCCAGCTCATGTCCAGCTTTTCATCCACCAGTATCCCTAAGTCCTTCTCTGCAGGGCTGAACCCAGTTTCATACATGTACATATTCAAGGTGCCTTGCTGCTTTTTCCAGCCACTTTTCATTTTTTTCATTGTAGACTGTAACGAATCCTTCAGCATCCTTTCCATATATCACCCCCTTTCCTGACCACTACTGTAAGCTATATT